ACTTCTAATATGTGGTGCCTCTCTATTACTGACACACAGATGGAGCTGCTGTGACGGCCAGGTGTTTACAAAACGTTGGGTAAGAGAACTGAATGTTGACTGTGTTCATAAACGATTCATAACAAATTTTTATCATTTGGGGCACGAATACTGCCGCATTAGGCTGAAGAACACGCTTTAGGGCAAGTTGTCATCCGTCGTCTGCTCTACAGATGAATTGCTGTGCGCCGCATCTTGAAAGCAATGCTTTAGATCATATGTTTCAAAGTAGGGACAAATATTACGCCTCCTGTAGTTTTATTGACAAAAACATTGTGAAATTCATTTTAACGTACTATACTTCAGTTTTGTAATCGCACTTGTGCGCAAGTATTGATTCAATACTTTTCCTTAATGAAATGGCCACAATAACTGCGATAACATACAGAAAATTTTCGCTTCATGCAGGTGCCCTGGAATCTAAAACGTTATGAACAGAGTTAAGTCATTTAAAGTTTAATGGTGTACTGCTAGACGTCGTAACAACTAGATTACGACGTGGTGTCCCCCAGTTAAATTTGTATTCACACAGGGCTCTGGTCTGGTGATATCTCCTCTACGCTAATTTTCATGAGGAGCCGAAACAATAGAACATGATTTTTTATCATGTCGAGGGTACGAATTACTAAAAAATATTTTTCTTACACCATTCTCTAAGCTGAGACTGAACTTCACAAATTACAATATACTTATCTTCGGTGATTCGGTTTTGGGCGTCAGATACAAAAATAATTTTCATGGCGTTTGTGCTTACGTTCACGAAAGGAAATGATTGAGACTTTACCTGGCTATTGTGCCTTATTAGTGCAGCGATGAGATAACATAGGTAAAGTTTTTATTGTTTTGTTTTAATAGTTACGTTCATTTGTAATCAAGGTAACGACCATACCATGTGGTCTGAACGGGAGAAAAACAATTATTGCACACTTTTTTTTGTGTACCTTATTTCTTCTCATAAACGTTACTTACTGGAAAGGCCTCAATAACTCATAGAATATATTCTAGGCGGATTACTTTGAGTAGTTATGAGCAATCTTTAAAGCATCATCATTATCATCAACATTATCATTATTATCTTATTCTGATGGTCCATGGTTATATGGGTCGTCAGTGTAGCTCCCGCGACCAGACTGACGACATGACCCCTGAGACTGAGTGGAAACCACCGTTCTGGCCAATCTTCCGGTACAACAGGGGTGCTCTGCCACCTATGAGAAATTACCAGAGCTTTCTGGAAGACCACAGGTGGTACTATGGTAGCACTAGAAAGACTGACAAAGCCATCGTGGCGTCGACATCCGACGCGACTTTCAGCTGTCATCGCGGCAGCCTGGAACATCGAGACTGCCGCTCGTGGCTGGGCCAACAATGGTCCCTACCACGGAGTTCAAACCCACTACTCACGAAAATAACCCGAACAGAAAAGAGGCCGTCGCCAGACATACTGGTCACGTCACACAAAAGAATACGCGACCACTCCGCGATGGAGCTGCCGTGAACTGGGAAGGATAGGAAGCCTTCGCTAGGCATCTTTCACAGAAGGCCGCGACTAAGAGGACCACTGGACTCCGAGAAGTCCTCTCTGTTGAGGTCATAAGGGACGAGCGAGAAGGCAGCAGGCTGGGTTACGTGGACACATGTTTTTGTTTTTCATCAGAACCACGTTCTAGCCGAGGAGCCCAGCCACGCGCCGCGCGCATCTCGAGCACACGTGGTCTTCGGCTTCGCCTGGTTTGTCCTAGATGACGGCATCTACAACATCTCCCAGTGCAATCGAGTGAAGTTCGCTGCAGCAGGCGGCTTCACGCACCTGTCACTTCTGGTATGCCCGTGGGAAGTGTCCTGGCAACGCGAGCGAGTGTCTATAGCACAATCACTGGTACTGGCACTATCTGCGTTGTTGTCACTTCGGGACTATGGGACTAACTCCATACGGTTTCTACGCACAGCAACAGTGTCGGTGTTGACCCCATAAGATCTAGGCTCATCGGCTGGGGCTTGTACTGTCCCTTTGCTCTTGAGGTCTGTCACCCACATGGCATCTCCATAAAAAAGTTCCGGCAGGTCGCGGACTCCATGACGTCTGTCAAAGTGTTTCCTTTCGTAGTCTGAATCTTTTCTCAAAATTCTGAAGGCTGTCTTGATCTGGCAATAGGGGTGTCAGCTTGGTGGAATGCAGAGGAAGTCTGGATCTCAGCCGACTACTAATGAGCAGTTCAGCAGAGCTATTTCTATTCTTCAAAGGAGTCGGCCTGTAAGCTAGAAGTGCCAGGTAAGGGTCCTTGGTCTTTGCCATGAATGTCTTGATGATTTTCACTGCAGCCTCTGCAAGTCCATTACACTGAAGATAGTGAGGGCTGCATTTCCTCTATTGGAAAGTGAGGGCTCCATTTTCGGCAGCTGCATTTCCTCCATCGGAAATGCAGCTGCCGCAGCCGGGATTTTATCCCGCGACGTGCGGGTCAGCAGCAGAGTACCTTAGCCACTAGGCCACCACGGCGGGGCACGCAGGGGAAAGATCTGAAACCTTTGGTACCGCAAAAAACCACATGCGTTCCACGTAGCTCTCTTTGCTGTGTTCTCACTGTCTCATATATTTACCTGCGATACAGTAGTGGTGCAGGCTCTTCTCACAATCTGTCTCTCTGTCTCATATATTTATGGACAGACGCAAACCAAACCGCAATCGCCTTTATGCGCGTGTCTGCATGACTTACTGACCGTGCTCATTGTACTTTGCCTGCATACGTTGGACAACGCCTTTGCACGTAATTCGAAATTTCAGGCTACAATAAACCAAGGCGTATGTATAGTCATGCCCACTTATACGTACGAGTGCTTGCTGAGCTGCTCCTGTCACATGTGTTCAGCTGCCCCTCTTCAATGTACCTCCACAAATGCACAGAAGCTCATCTACGTTGCCGTGAGTCGAGCCACCGAACTTATAGGACTGTTTCTATTTAGCTAAGGACAGGACTTCACTTTTCATCATAGTAAAGAAAATCCGGGTCACACCTTGTCGGACGAATTTTGCTGATTGGAAACTCATCGACTTGACAAATCGGCAGTTTGCAGCGTGAACTACGCTCTTTGCTCGCGCACACCATCGATGTCTAGCAGGATGATGTCGTCTGCGAGGTACCTCTAGTGTGCTTTACGGAAACGTGGATGAACACTGCCGTCGAACTGTCAGGATGCAAATGCATATATATCAGTCTCCGAAAACGGCGAAATCAGCGAGCCGCTAGAGTGGCCATTTACGAACGCTTCGACGGGATAACGCTTTTACTACGCAGCGCTGAATACCAACTCAACTCGCTGCCCTAGGTGACTTGTGGTGGTGCATGTACCGTCAAAACTTCACAAGGCTTCATCTTTGCAGAAGTCTACGTCTCGCTGAGGACCTCGCGGAACGACATCATCAAGTTCTTGCTCGCTGCACAACTTCAGTGCAGTGTGCAGAGAGGATATGCCAGTGATCGCCAAAGGAGACTTCAACGGGAATGTACTGCGATGTGAAAATGAGTGGCGTGTGGCGTTTCTCGGAGCCTAACTTGGACTTCACCTTCTGTCTGACGTCACACAGCCAACTACAGGCAAAAGCACGTGTCGAGGTATTGTGCTCGGAAAGAGTGTGGCGTCACGAGTGCGCTGCGTGCCATTGCCGACATATTTCAGTGACCGCAAGGTGGTTGTGGCTGTCATCAAGTGAACTGTTTTTCATTTACATTCACCAGTGTTTCTATTGAATACTACATATTTGCTGCCCTAATTCATACACGTCATTAAATACGTAATTTATTTCGTCATGTGGGTCTTGCATTCCTGTCATTCCAAGCACACCCGAGTGAGGGCCATTGCGAGGGAGGTCCATTACTATCATTCCGAGCACACCCAAGCGAGGGATGCGCTCTAGGCATAACAAACTGCCACACCGGGAGCACACGACGCATGGCCCTCAGTACCGGCATGCGCTGCCCACGGGAGGCGCTTCTCTCTCTTCTCTGGTTGACTCGCATCTAAAAACTACGCATTCTTTGTGCAGATTTTCAGCAAGTTTCCGTCGCAGCCTGTTCCCGTCGCTGCCGTAGCGGCCTGTTTCTTCTGGGCCAGCGTGGTTTTCGACAGGATTTAGTGCGCCGGCGCAGTCTGCTCTTCGAATCAGCGTTTTTATCGTTGAAATCATCGACGAGATCCGACGCCCGCATTTATCGTGCTGCCACGAGATCTGCTGTTACCGAGCAGCGCTTGGTGCTGCCCCTTCAGGCCTATATAAGGACGTCGCAAGTGCTTCGTCTTCATTTGGCAAGCAGCGTTACGGCTGGTTGACTCGCATCTAAAAACTACGCATTCTTTGTGCAGATTTTCAGCAAGTTTCCGTCGCAGCCTGTTCCCGTCGCTGCCGTAGCGGCCTGTTTCTTCTGGGCCAGCGTGGTTTTCGACAGGATTTAGTGCGCCGGCGCAGTCTGCTCTTCGAATCAGCGTTTTTATCGTTGAATTCATCGACGAGATCCGACGCCCGCATTTATCGTGCTGCCACGAGATCTGCTGTTACCGAGCAGCGCTTGGTGCTGCCCCTTCAGGCCTATATAAGGACGTCGCAAGTGCTTCGTCTTCATTTGGCAAGCAGCGTTACGGCTGGTTGACTCGCATCTAAAAACTACGCATTCTTTGTGCAGGTTTGTGGTATTCAAGTTGTCTTTTCTTATTTTTTTTTTTTTTTTAATTCTTAGCCGTGACTGCTGCTTTTGCCAAGTTGTTACATTGTATACTGCACTATGCCTACTAATACCGAGCTTGCTAAGCGAATAGACGCGCTCGAAAGTCTGTTCGATGGTAGGCTTGAACGTGTGGTTGCAGACCTTGTTTCTAAGTGTTCTAACAAGCTACATGAACTCGGCTTTGATCAATGCGCAACTCTGGCGGAAAGTGTTCAGCACTTAAGTGATGTTTTTGATGACATGAGGGTGAGGCAGGACGAGCTGGTGACTGCGAACCGCGCACTCTCCGCAAAAAATGAGGCGTTGGAAAAAAAAGTTGCTGATCTAGAACAGTATTCTCGACTGAATAATGTTGAGATAAAGGGTGTTCCGGTCACGCAAAATGAAGATTGCCTTGCAATCGTGAAAACCATTGGCAATGCCATCGGCTGCTCTGTTTCTCCCTCTGACTTGGACGTTGTCCATCGTGTGGCCACAAAGTCTAAGGAGAAGAACATTATCGCTCGCTTTTGTTGCCGCGAGAAGAAAGGCGAGTTTGTTCGTAGGGCTCGCAAAGCCCGTCTACGTACTGGCCAAATTGGCTTTTCTGGTTCCACTGATGCTGCTGTGTTCGTTAATGATCACCTTACTGTCGAGAACAAACGCTTGTTTTCTAAGGCACTAGCCCTTAAGAAGGAGAAGAGCTGGCAGTTTTTATGGACGGACAACTGCCAGATTAAGGCTCGTCAGACTAGCAGCAGCAAAGTGTTCATCTTAAAGTCTGAGAACGACCTTCGGGTTTTCAACTAAGTCGCGTGTCATCGATTCTAGGGACAATTCTCTCTCTCTCTCTCTTTTTCTAATTTTTTTTTTGTCCTTGACGTGTACTTGTCAATCATGTCCTTTTCTGCTGAAGAATTTATTTCGTTTCTATCTGACAATCAACGCTCTCTAGTTCATTTCAATGCACGTAGCTTGCGAAGGAATCACGACAACATTAATAGTTTCATTCACTCTACCAGACACTCTTTTTCATTTATATGTATATCAGAAACCTGGCTTTCCGATGTGGATGCTAATCTATATGGTTTTACGTCGTACAAATCTGAATACTGTCATCGTGCATCTGACAACTATGGTGGCTCAGCCATTTTCATTTCTTCTGGCATTAATTATATTCGCAGATTGGACCTTCATATTACCATCCCCTATTGCGAATCAGTTTGGATAGAAATTGAACAGCCACAGGTTACTCATAATCAAAAAAATTTAATACTCGCTTGCATCTATCGCTCACCTTCCTCCTCATTTATCCAGTTCTTATCGGCTCTTGAGACTGTCCTGAACACTCTATCAATGGAGAACAAAAATGTATTGTTGGTAGGCGATATCAACATTAACCTATTAGATTCTCATTCAAGAACTACAAGTGCCTATAATGATTGCCTTCTAGGGTACGGGTTAACGTGCCTCATCGATTCGTACACTAGATCCAACCCACGTGGCTCTAACACTCTTTTGGATCATGCTTTTTGTAACTTTAATCCTAGAGTGTCCGGGGTGGTTGATGTCGATATTACCGATCATTATCCCATCTTCATCACATTTGATAGCCCTATAACTCAAATCAACACAATTTTTACTGCACTGCGATTTGACAAAGACAATTTCATCAGTGCAATTTCAAACTGTGACTGGTCCAAAGTTAGCTCGCAGGCTGATCCACAATCAGCGGTTGATACATTTTCTTCTTTATTCTCAGAAGCTGTTTCTTCTAGTACTCACACTATTGCTTATAACAAGAAATACCAAGAGCCTCAAAGCCCTTGGATGACATCTGCCTTATTAACCAGTCTCAGAAAGAAGGATAACCTCTATAGGAAAGTTAAGAGACAACCCTTTAATATCGCCTTGGCACTTCGCTATAAAGTTACTGTAATACTCTTAACTCTTTGCTAAAACTTGCCAAGAAACGCTATTATAATGAGGAATTTATAAAGAACAAAAATAATCATAAAAAACAGTGGAAACTGCTCAATGAATTCTTGAATTCGCCTACAATTAACTCGCCCATAACGAAAATCACTCACCATAACGCTACTTATTGTCACTCTGACGACATTGCTAATGCGTTTTCTGAGTATTTTTGTTCGTCATCCAATTCCTCAAAAAATGTTCCTTCACCTAGTTTGCCGCGCTTACCTCACTCATTTTTTCTCTTTCCCTCTTCCTCTGACGAAATAGTATCAGCTATTCGTAATCTTAAAAATACTTCTCCCGGTCTGGATAACATTTGTGCACACCATTTAAAGATGGTGGCTCATATAATTTCTCAGCCCTTAACCCATATAATCAATCTCATTTTTTCTAAAGGTTCTTTTCCTGACTCATTAAAACGTGCAAAAATTATACCAATTTTCAAGAAAGGCGATAAAGATGATATTAAAAATTATAGGCCTATCTCTATTCTTCCATCATTAAGTAAACTAATTGAACAACTGTTTGTAAAGCGTCTTAGTTCTTACCTTTCGAAATTTAATGTTATAAAACCTTCCCAGTTTGGTTTTCGTCATGGAAGCTCCACTAACCTTGCTCTGCTTTCTTTGACAGACTTCATCAAACATTCCATTGATACTGGTAACTTCTCGGGTTCAGTCTTTTTGGATTTAACTAAAGCCTTTGACACGCTCAATCACTCCATTCTTTTCAATAAGTTAGATTCTTATGGTATTACTGGACCAGCTTTAAATTTTCTGAAAAGTTACCTGTTTAACCGAAAAAATGTGGTCTTTACAGGTGGCTCTTACTCTAACATTAAGATTACCAATCAAGGTGTTCCGCAGGGGTCCATTCTTGGCCCCCTCCTATTCATTATTTATATTAATGATCTCCCTGACGTCATTTGCTCTGCACATTGTGTTTTGTACGCTGACGACACCACAGTATCATGTAAGGCCAAAACAGTTCCATCTTTAATATCAAAACTAAACTCTGTACTCAGCGATGTAGTTTTATGGTGCAACAACAATGATCTAACGATAAACCCCTCTAAAACTCAGTTCATGGTTTTCAGGTCTGCTCATAAACATTTGTTAACTTCTGCTGCTATAACTATGGGTCCTAATACTATCCATGCTTGTGATACTGTTTCTTTTCTCGGTGTACGTTTAGACATAACCCTTAATTTTGGTCTACACTTATTAGACATAAAGAAAAAGACTGCTTTTGGTATTCGTGCATTGATTAAAGCTAGGCCATATTTTTCCACTAATGCATTACTATCGCTCTACTTCTCATTTATTCATAGTCATTTTAACTATGGCATAATTACCTGGGCCAACACCTATCACTCGTACATCTCATCTGTACAACATATACAGAACCAAGCAATCCGCATTATCACTTTCAGCCCTCGTCGTTCGAACGCTATTTCTTTGCTTAGACAATACAATATTCTGAGTATTAGTAGGTTATTTGAATTTCATTGTACTTGTTTGTTCTTTAATATAATTCACCGTCGGCTACCCTTCGACCTCATCAACTGTGACTTATTGATAAACACTAACCGCACTCGCTTCGCATTGGAGCGAAATTTATTACTACCCCGAGTTTGCACTAATTACGGCATAAAGTCTTTGTCATTCACAGCTATTTCATTATGGAACTCTATTCCACCAAATATAAAGTCTCTATCCAACTTGTATACATTCAAAAAAACTTTGAAATTATATCTTCTATCACTATAAATTATTCTATGTTGTCCTTTTTGCATTTTGACTTAGCGATTGTATTTGTTGAAGTTGTGATTATTACTATGTTTTATCGCTTCGTTATTTTTCTATAGTTGCTTTATAGCATTGTTTTGTTAATATTACATTGTCTTGCCATTTGCCCTTGCACTTGTTTACATGCTTTCTTCATCGTGGGTCCCCCTACAGTCTTCGGACTATGGGACCCTAGTCTGTAAAACGTCTTCTTCATTTTATGTATCGCCAGTCTGTTAATAATAATAAACTTCAAACTTCATCAACGCCGTCACTACGCACGAGCCTTGTTGTGATCGTCTACTGTGAGCGCACCGCAGGAAACTTTTTTACTTAGCGAGCGCGTATGTTTACTACAATTATTGTTGCTCCTAAAAATTCTAGCCTGCTTCGTAAAACATTCAAATATACTGTTATCGCATTAATTGCTTTGCCCTTTTGGCGGTAATGCGTCTTTTTACGTCCCCAAACAATCTCCACATTTTCGTACATGCGTTGAGCGCTTTACTTTTTTTAGAATTTTCATTTTAATACTTCCAAATATCCGTGTATGTAAAAAGAGGTTTGTGCAAGCCAGGAAAGTAGAATTGCCACTTTTGACGTCTTTTTTATATTATTCTTTTTTGGCAGGCCCTCTCAATAGTTTGTATTCATTCGACCAATTTGTGTGTAGTAGGGAGAGCGCAGTCGACATGAGCGGTAACAAGTGGACGAAAATTCCACCGGGCCAATCGGCGAGCAGAAACAAGGCTGTAGCTTCTGATCAAACCACCGACACAATATGTGTTGCGTGCGTGGCAGGGCGTTAATCCTAAATTCCGTGGGTGATATGCGTGTTCCGAAAACCCGCCATGTTGGCTTAGCAGGTAAGCTGTCGCGCTGCTAATCTCGATAAGGCAAGTTTGAATCCCTGGCCTCAGATGCCGTGTGTTAATGGGGACACAATGCAAAAACTCCCGTGTACTTCGATTTTTGTTGAATATAGAATCCGAGGTGGTTCATATTATTGCGGAGTTCCCGACTGCGGTGTCCTTCATGATCATGCACATCGTATATATACTCCTGGCCCGTTAAACACCAAAGGTTTTTATAACGTGTTCTGACTTAATCAACCATCAAAGCTTGTGTGTTTTCAAGACGCTGCACAACGCAAATAAAAGCGACAGCAGGTATTAGGAGCAGGCAGGCATTTCCGATGGAGGCGGAAATGCTGTAGGCCCGTGTGCTCGGATTTGGATGCACGTTAAAGAACGCCAGGCGGCCGAAACTTCCGGAGCCCTCCACTACGGCGTCTCTTTAATCATATTGTGCTTTTGCGACGTTAAGCCTCCTATATCAATCAATCAAGAGTAGGCTGCTTTTTACGCATGTTTGGAAGAGGGTTTAGCATGTGTGGATATATTTTGTGCCAAATTGGCTACCTTAAGAGCCCGTATATCTATGAAACCTTAAAGTTGGCGCCATGGTTATTCTTTGGCAACATAGAATTTGTTTTTTTCTGCCAACCAGTTGCCGCAAAAGTGCGGGATTCTAAGCTTTCGCTTTAATATTTGAGCTCGATAGTAATACTTTATTCCTAGAGCATACTCGGTTCAAAATGGCTTATGTAAGTGTTGGTTATTAAGAGCAACTGATTGGATTCCCAAGGAAAGCAAACGTGTAAGGGGGAGACAGAAACTTAGGTGGGCCAATAAGAATAAAATGTTGGCAGGTATAAAGTGGAAGCAGAAAGCACAAGACCGGGTTTATTGGCAGTTCATGGGAGAGGCCTTTGCCCAGCAGTGGGTCCAGCCAGCATGATGATGATGATGACGATGATGTGTCAGAGAAGCTTTTACATACAGCTACATTTTGTTTAATGAGTGGCGTGCTTTAAACCACGGGCCACTGTGCACGTGAAATCTTTTTTAACTTGCTATGCACCCACTACGTGGCCTTAGGGAAATGGCACAGTAACGTGTGCGCCTTTTGTAGTGTTTGGCCGCTTTGAACCATGAATTGAAGACAATGTTCTTGCACCTCATAACATTGTACGCTTGTACCACG